TATTTACTAATCAAAGATTGTATTTACTAATCAAAGATTATATTTACTAATCAAAGATTGTTTTTACTAATCAAAGATTGTATTTACTAATCAAAGATTGTATTTACTAATCAAAGATTGTATTTACTAATCAAAGATTGTATTTACTAATCAAAGACTATATTTACTAATCAAAGATTATACTTACTAATCAAAGACTATATTTACTAATCAAAGACTATATTTACTAATCAAAGATTATATTTCTAATTTTTAATTGTGGTTTCTCTGTAAAATTGATTAACGAAGGGACAAGGAACCCAATTAACAGAATTCAACATGTATTGTCCCAATATTGTCCCAATATTGTCCCAATATTGTCCCAATAATCTCTGTAAAAAATTGATAATAATCTATTTCATAAACATTCCTTTAGATTTTGCAAGATTCTTCCACCAAAAACCAATTTCTAAAATTTCCAAGTTTTCGGCTTTTTGTGTTCAGACACTCGATTTACTTTTAAATGATTTGTAGGTTTTCTTGATAGATTTCTTAGTTGTTTTTTACGATGGTTTGGTTGATGTTTCTTGATAGATTTCTTAGTTGTTTTTCCGATGGTTTGGTTGATGTTTCTTGATAGATTTCTTAGTTGTTTTTACGATGGTTTGGTTTGGTTGATGTTTCGGTTGATTCGGATCCAGGGAGCTAAAATGTTGCGGAGCCAGTGGATCCGGGTTTAAGAATTGCAAATTATAAATTACAAATTTTGATATTTTTTTTAGTTTGCTAGTGTTGTGAGACCAGTTAAGAAAGGGATAGAGTGCTCGAAATTTCAACGTCTGATCATCTTTCGACATTTGTGCTCGAGAATTGAACTCCTCGACTCCATCGACACGAAAAAGTGACGAGTGACTTCAACGTCGTTTATTTAAGTTTTAATTAACTAAAAATTAAGTCGTTTCTGTATTCGTCCAAGTTAATGATAAAAAAGAGAATTTTTTGTTAAAAACAGTTTTGTAATTAGAGATCACCGTTCACAGTCTTGAAAATCAATTAAAATTTGTTACGTCGATCAGGGGCGTATTCAGGAATTTGTCCAGGGGGGGGGCTAATTTTTTTTCTTTCCAGGGGGGCTCAGCACCCGTTGTGGCCTGAAAACCCCCTGAAAACGATAGATTTCACTGGTCCAGGGAGTGGGCTTAGCCCCCATAGCACCCCCCCTGAATACGCCTCTGATGTCGTTATTCATTTTCACATGAGTATATAGTATAACTAATCATATCCTAGCTCGTATTCATGAAATTATTCATTAATTCCGGGTTTATCAGAACCCATTGTTTAATCGTTTTCAAAATATTTTAGATTTTTTTTTTCAAAAAAAATCCTCATATATTTCATGGGTCTGTACTCTGTATGTTAAAGGTTGAATTTATTCCAGAAGAATGCTGGATGTCCGGTTGAAGATGTCAAATATTTATAAATTTATTCTACTCTTCCTTTTCATGGTGTCCATCATTTATCTCTACAAATCATCTTTTATAAAAATTAAAGTTACAGGTGAGTCCATTTCAGTTATCCAGGTTTTTTACCTTGAGAAAGCCAGTCTTACTGCTTTGCTGACGAGTTCGTTAACACACACGCACACTCTTGTGGTATAGACACACAACATCACTACAGTCAAGGAAATTGCAGAACAATGTCGTCTTCGCTGTTCTGCTATATTAATTTGTTAAATCCCGAACAACACACAGCTTGTTTGAAATCTGCTTAGCTTTTTTCTTTTCTTTTCTGCGTACAGAACACGCCTTTGGTTAACATCTTTGGAACGCAATGTACTAGACAGTAATTGAAACAAACAAAAATCCATGTTAAAAAATAAGTTCTTAAAATACTTAATTTACATGATGATTAATAATTTTAATAATAATTAATAATTAATAATAATTTATAATAATAATCATCCTTTTGCAGGAAAATAAAGAAATATTGTACCTCAAATTTCTAATGGTGTTCTCAATGATGTCAGTTATCACAGGAATTTTTTTGATCTAGGTCGATGGGAAGTGCAATGCCCGTGCAGATCGCAAAAAAGATCAATTTTCTCAAAAAAAAACTATATCTTGATTAATCACGTCATATATCATTTTCTTCGTAATTGTCCAAAAAGATTAAATCTATTTAGATTTTTGAACATTTTTTTTAGAATTGACTGAGTTAGGTAAAGAAAAGAACCTCCTAACCCGGTCAATTTTTTTTAATTTCTCTAAAATTTAAATGGATTTAATCCTTTTAGACATTTACAAAGAAAATTATATATGACATGATAAATTAAAGAAATATTTTTTTTTGAGAAAATGGATTCTTTTTGTGATCTGCACGGACCTTGTACGACCACTTTCTATAGACCTAGAACAAAAAAAAAATCCTGTGATATCTGACATCATAGAGAACACTATTAGGTTATTGTGGGAAATCAGACTGAAAAATGGGTCACCCTAATTAATATATATAATGTTATTATTAATTTTAGATAAATTGGAAGCTCAAGAAAAAGAATCTGTCCGTGTAGATGTTTATTATGAATGTTTGTGCCCAGACAGCAGGTATATAATAGCTTAGGAACCCAGTGCTGTCCGTGTAGATGTTTATTATGAATGTTTGTGCCCAGACAGCAGGTATATAATAATACTAGCTTAGGAACCTAGCGCTGCAAACGTTATTAAAAGTTACTCCCGCCGTTTACCCGCACTTGAACGATTTTACCGGGAAACTAAATTTTTGCTATTTAAGTCCACCCACTCAATTTAGAATCTTAAAACCAAGACATTCCAATGGGTCTCCCCCAAGTTCCCCAATCGAAATTTGAGGCAAGTTGGCACTTGGGTTCCAGAGTTATGATCGGAAAAACAAACAAACAGACAAACAGATATTACAACTTTATATCATATATATAGAATATCTGAATAATTCTATAAATAATTTTTTAAAAAATCTTTAACAGTAATAATCTCAGTTCTAACTATATTTATTATACTAAAACACAATTGCATTTTTATATTTTTAGACATTTTGTTGTTCACCAGTTGTTCCCAGCTTGGAGTTTGCTAAAGGAACATTTTTCAAATAATAAAAATATTTTCCATCTTATCTATGGAGTGCATTAAAAAATGAGGGGGGGGGTGTATTTTTACCAACTCTTAAAGCTAAGGGTTGTTAAAAACAACAATTTTAATTTTAATTTTTTGTTAAAATTTCAAAAAGGGATTGATCTATCATGCGTTACTCTTGATATGATCTAGTTATTGTTATCATTGTTACTGTTATTGTTTTTCTTGTTGTTGTTACTCTGTGACTCTTATTCTTAGTGTTACTCTTACTCTTACTCTTACTCTAACTCTTATTGGAATTATTGTTAACATTTTGAAATTGTTTTATCAGGAGATTATGGAGGTTAACCTCATCCCCTACGGGAAAGCCAGTTCAAAGGTAACTGTGTAGTTAAAGGGATTGTCTGACTGGATATGGTAGTTGAGCAGAGAATGCAGTTTAGTAGAACATTTTTTAAGGTTCATTTGAGACCTATGAGACGTTTTTACAATGCATACTTGTTTAGCAAGAGCGCAAATTCAATTTTTAAATTTTCATAGATTGTTCATTTTGGAGGGATTATTTTGAGAATCGGTTTTTTAAAAATTATTCAATGACAACCACGAAAAATTTAGCAAAAATTATTTAGTAAACTAATTATTAAGCCAGACACTCACTTTATGCACATTAAATTTTAAGAACATTAAAGGAAAGTACACCACATGACGATTAATCAAATTCCACATTTAATTAGCCCTACAAATCATTTATTTCCCTCGATTTTGCGAAAAAATAGTCTAAAATGGTGTCTACAGGGTTACCCACAAAGGAGGAGACTGTATAAAACTCAAACAGTCTGCAATGTTTCCCTACAACAGTGAAGTTTCTTTTTTTTGCAAAACCATTTTGAAAGCCATTAAAAGACTATATTCAATGCAGAAGACTTGTTTTAACCTTGGGTTTGTCCTATTCTAAGAGTTTCAGGTCGTCTTTACAGTCTCATCCTGTGTGGGTATTGGGTAACCCTATAAGAGGTGAGGTGGGTTAAAAATGTTGACAAAAATTTGTACCTCTGAAAGAAAATAAAAATATCCTGTCATGTTAAGAAATCTGGAGATCTGTACGAGTTTCAATGTCAGCATGGTCCGGTAGAGTGCACCGGAAATACATATCATGCCTGTGTGGCCAAAACTTCAAAACCGGAAATTAGGAATCCATCAGATAGAACTTTTAATTGTTCCATTTTTATTTATTGTTTATTAAAATAAATAAATAAAATAAATTTATAACAAAGCAACATAAAGTTGTTTGGTGAGGGTGAAGAAACTGAAGAAACTGAACTTGGAATTTCAAAACCAAACTCAGAACATTCCCGTGACTCAACCGAGTTTTCCAATCAAAATTTAAGGCAAATCTGTAAAGGGGTATATTTGTCAAATAGAGATTACTGCTTTATATATAATGATACAATGATTGTCTATTTATCTGACTGATTTTGTTTTAGTTTATTATATGTAAAATGTATGATAGAAAACAACCTAAATCCGTCTAGTATAGCAGAAAAATGCGCGGGAGAACTTGCTGTCCCATTCTCTGAGATAGGTAATCAAAATCTAAGGTCAATACTTTTAAATCTATTTAAATTATTCGGTTTAAATGATCGTACACAGCCATCTCCAACCCTTTTCTTAAGCTTATATTTAATTTAAGCATATTTATTTTATCTATATTTGTACGTATGTATGTAAAATCAAAAATAAAATGTTTTTTAATACTAAATGAATCATCTTTCCTTGATAAAAATATTTGTAATGTTTAAGTCAATAATTTGATTTTTGAAAATCCACACAAGGTAATCGGATCTGAAACTAGGAATTAATAAAAAAATGTTTTTATTTATAAATTTAGCTTAAGCTGGGGAAACATTAATTTTTAGACTCGACCAGTCCATGTAAAATTCATTAATTTTTCCCCCTTAACACTCACGGCTATGAGGTTTTATCTAGTTTTTATCAAATTTACTAAAAAAAAAAGATTTTCTGAAATTATTTACCATTTAAAATTTTAGATACGTGTGCCAAGGGACGTGAAGGAAATATGCTGAGTTTCATGATGGGAGAACTTACACACTCATTAAGGAACAAAAATGTTCATCAGCATTAAAAACAAGTTTTAACATTTTAAAGATTGTTTTTATTACATAAAAACTGTTGAATTACAAGCCTGCACGAATCAAAATCAATTGCACGTTTACATACAAATTGAAAAGTTGTTTTGGCTTAAATCAATCTTCAGCCATAGCCAACATTAGTGCTTCAATAATAAGGCTTAAGCGTATATATTTTACAATTTTGGGATATGAAACTTTTGCTTTTTTTTGTAGAGCCTCAATAAAGTCTGGCTAGACACGATTGTTGAGCTGAGAATGCAGTTTGGTTGTGACATTTTTTAGTATTCATTCGAGACCTATCAGACGTACTTACGGTGCATAATTGTTAAGCAAGCGCACAAATTTAATCCTCATAGATTGTTCATTTTGCAGTAGAGAAATATTTACTAATTGATGTTTGTTCACATAAAGTCTACTATCTTTGTTATTGTTGTTACGCAGAAACTAGTTCCTTAGCAGTCCAAATACGTCACAGATAATACGCAAATCCTATCGCCCCCACCTTGAAGAAACCCATTATTTCTTCTTCCTCATTATATTTAATTTCGTTCTCTTTATGAATTTTTTCGAAGATTTCTGCAAATTCTTCAAATGTCATCTTATCAATACAAATTCCAGGAAATCTACAAATAATGTTTGTGAACAATTATATATTACAGAAACCAAAAATGAAATAAGTACCTGTTTTTAATGATAAGAGTTAATTTAATTTTCTAAACCTGTTCCTAAACAACTTATTAGCTAACTGTCACTAAGGATTAAGTAGGTTGCCCTTATATAAAACAAATGGTCAAGTATTTAAATTGATAAGAACAAATGTTGTTGTATAGTCCGTCAGTTACATTTATTCCTACAGTAGAAATAGAAACAAGTCAGAAGAGGTAAGAACTGAGCCAGCCACCAAAAAGCATGATTTGAACCCCTAAATTATATCAAATATCATTCACCTAAAAAAGACGATTGATATATTGGTGAAGGATATTTTGTATGATTTTGGAGACATTTTTCACTTATTTTTCTGTTCTGTTTATTATTTAAAAAAGATCCTTTTTTTGCTATGGATCCTTGGCCAGTATTGGAGAAATTGATACAAATTAACATAAGTGAGAACCAGAAAATTCTGGATTAGGAAAACTACTTTTAGACCTAAGTTATGGCTGAAAAATGTCCATTGTACATGAGAGACAGCAATTGTGCAGTGTTAACAGTCCCATTTCTCTTAACAAATCTTAACAAGTGATTTACTAAGTTATAAGAACTATTTGCTTTGTAACAATTTAAAATATATTTATGTATTGATTGAATGTCGTCATCCTCTTCCACAGTTTTCTGATTCTCACTTTACTAAAACCATTTTCTTTGACAATTTTTTTCTTCAAAATTTTTACTTCGTTTGAATAAAAAAATGGAACTTATTTTCGTTCCTTTGAAACCAGGTTTTTTATCCTCTTGTGTTTCTCTATCCTAGGTTTCGAGACTCTTTAAAGAATCTGTCCCTTCAAGTATGTTTGGAGTACAAGGAGAAGTACATGAAAACATTCCCAGCTTGTAGAGAACTACTTCAGTAGTCTACATTAGTTCTGATTGCTGTACACCGTACAGAAACATATGTTGTACTGTACTGTACTGAACACTCTACAGAAACTCTCATGCTGTACACTTACTGTTTTACTTGTTTAATAGTTTTTCTATCTGATTTTCTGTACACTGTACACTGTACACTGTACACTGTACACTGAACAGTATATAATGTGCGCTGAAAATTTGTAGAAAAATTATTTGTTGTGATTCATCCAGCTAAACCATCAATTGTACAACAAATACAGAAATTTTTTTTAAAAAATTATTCAGTTCGGAATTTGATATATCACCTCTTTTTACTCTTTACATGTTCACTGCATTTAGATCAGATAGTTTTCACATTTGTTGCTTACTGCGAAATTTCCAGTTTCATAATATCAGAAATCTAGGCAGCATATAGTTCTAGTTCTAGCCGTTTTTTTTTAAATTAAGAAGTTACCATAGCATTTTCACAATAAAAACAAATAAATCTCTTTTAGCAAAAGATAAAGTTGAATAGTAATGCTAATCGCAGTTTTCAAATAAAGGGTTCTCTAAAATCATAATTAAAGGCATTTATCTAAATTAAAAACATCAATACTGCATTTTTACTGTGTCGAGCATTTCAAAAGTAATGTTATTTCTGAAAAAAAAGAGGGGAATGGGAAATTTTTCATCCTTTTTTAGTACCCCCTACACAAGCACTTTTTTATATATACAAGTACTGCCATTTATTTTAAGATAAAATTAAACTTTCTTTTTGTTGGACGAATTTGCTGCAATTTTTATAAGAGCTTTAGTTTTATAATTGTTTAAAATGAATAAATTTATGAAATTTTTTTTAACAATTTGCAGTTGTAATGTTTATGTATACACATTTATGTGATTGAATGTCAGAGCTATCAGAGCTAGAAGAGAATGCATTTCGAATTTTCACAATAAAAGATTAATACTGAAGTGTTCACTGTTCAGCCTTCTTTCATTTTTGGTATATTGTAAATTGTAAAGATTCAAATAATAAAAGACTTACAGTTTTATTTTTATACGCTTCAAGGTTAGGTGTTATCTACCTCACCCTCAACAAGATGGTTTTCAAGTAACTGAATTGCATTAAATTCTCTTCGATTTAGATAATGTGGAATCAAGGTAATCTACCAATTTTAACTTTGAGACATTTGAAACGTCGCGTCGACCGAAATCATTTTATCTAAGTAAACAAACTAAATTTATTACAATTCACACTTTTTTGTTTCATTTTTAACAAATAAATTATGACCAAAAATTAAGTATATTCAGTTGTTAAAAAATTATATTCTGATTTATATTTCAGGACTTAGCACCGTCTGTGTTCATAATATATTTGATATTGGTTAAAATATGATGATAAAGCATCCAAAATAAAAGGAATATTAAGAATTTATTCAATGTAATTTTTAAAAAGTTCATAATTCGCGCCAGAAGCCAGGCAGAGGTGTTAAAAGAGTACCAGGTTGTGGTTATAGTCTCGTCTAAAATACGCAAGAAACCCTGCAAGTGCACAAATATTTATCAGTTGATTTTTAGAAATATTTCTCCAAATATCTTCTCTCCTTTCCGAGCTGCGTAAGAAATTTTAAGTTTTAGTATAAACCTTATATATGCCACTTAATGAGTTCATATATGTTTCTGATCATGACATTTAATTAACTCTAATCTTTAGTAAAATTCTTATGCCACTATGCCAAAAAAAAATTTGTTAAAATATTTCATTATACACATAAAAACCAAGATTTAAAAGAAGCTGTGCTGTATGGTGGAGGCTCGTTTACATGCATAGCGGAGTAAGCGGAGCCACAGTCTGCATAGTGGAGGCTCGGTCTGCCTAGCAAATCTGGGAGGCTCGTGTCTGCATAGCGGTGGCTCATGGCGTCCTGGGGTACCCTCCCACGTATACCACGTACATCTCCCCCATCTATATGTAGTGTTTTATTAATTGATTTCAACCGATCTCGACTTTAGCTAAGACGACATCTAAAAACATATTTTAGGTTTTAAATTTTCGATCGTAATGTTTAAACAGGACATACAGGGTGTCCCACGAAACATGACAGTATGCAGGACGACTTGAATGTCGTCTTGATTTTTGATATAATTTGCTGCGTTTATTTGTCAATCTAATTTTAGAAGTAAATTTCTAGAGATAATAATCACAAAATTTCCCTTGTCCTGCCATTTCCAAAATGTGGTCTGCCTTTTTTGTGCTTTCAATATTGCCCGAGATATGAAGAATTTCGTTCAGATTTCGACAATTTTGCTTTTATTTAACAAAATTGAAATCTGAACCAAACTCTTTATATCTCCGGTAATATTGAAAGCACAAAAAACGCAGACCACTTTTTGGAAATGCCAGGGCTAGGAGAATTATGTGATAATTGTTTCAAGAATCATACATGTTAAAGTAGATAGAAGACTAAATGTCACAAATAAATTTAAATACCAAAGACGACTTTCAAGTCGTCTTCCTATTGTCATGTTTCGTGGGACACCCTGTATCTAACCAGTGGCGTAAATAAGGGGGGTTATTGGGGTTATTTACCCCCCCCCCCTAGATATTTCAGATTTTAAGTCAACATATTCTAAATGATTCTTAATTCTAAATAAATAGTCAATGTCATTACAATTACATGTTTTTTTTAATAGAAAAAGAGGGTATGGGCAATGAAAAATACATTTTTACTTCTAAATAAAGTAATTTCCATATTAAATTTATTTAAGATCTTCACATACTACATTGACGACAAGAAAATTTTAGAAATTAGAAATACAAATATAAACAAAGAAAATATTTTTCTAAGTTTTGCAGAGTAGCTTTTAGAGTAAAACTATTATTTTTTTATCTTACTTAAAATAAATTCAGCTTTTTTTACAGATCTTTGTAGTTAATGTAAAATGAATGACTATTATGAAGGATATAAAACAAGCTGAAAGCTGAAAGGTATGAATTATTTTGAGCTGCTTAGAACCTAGAGCGGGCTCTACACCTGAATCTAACGTTAGTGATTGGTGGGGAACACGTTTTGAAATAGTTTGTATTTAAATGCAATTGTTTCCAGAACCAAAATGAGATTGAATGGACGACCCAATAAACCTATTATTAATGATCTAATCTTTAAAAGATAGCAATGTACCAAATAAGGAAGGGACTTCAAAATTTATCTTAGTCTTGTGTTCTATTCGTTCAACCGCGTACTCAGGATTTTAGCCAGGGTGGATAAAGTTATTTTGCCCCCCCTGGCCTTAAAAATTTATGGTTTTCTATATTATGTCCGCTACATGTCCCAGCTATGTAGTCCATTATGTAGTTCAAGGACTATACATGGTTACCCTCAAATGATGAGACTTCAGAGACGATTGTTCAGAATCTGTTTCCATATATTCACGATTCCCTTCACTATAAACTTGTTTGTTTCTCTGCAAATCATTAAATAAGCTATCATACAGGGTGTCCCAATAAACATGGGAATTCAGTGACGAATTCGATATCGTCTTTTTAAATAATTCTTTTATTTAGTATAGTGATACCTACTGAGAAAGCTGTAATCTGTAAGAGTTTCGTCTGCTATGTTCACATTTTGTTTGTTTATGTTTTGACTACATACGGTAGGGTGTACTTAATAAAACAAGAAAATTACAGTATATACAAACAGCGTAAACTTGTCCGTCTTCACTGTTCATCTTGCGGAGACATTATAGACACATCTTTTCAGTGTTTTACCCTTTTCCTAAAATAAACTCTAGCAGACATAATATTAGGTATTAGAAATTAGGTATTAAAATGCTAATTCATAACAATTAGACGATATCCAATTCGTCACTGAATTCCCATGTTTTTGGGACACCCTGTATAACTTTATCTAAGCAGAATACACTATTTAGCCTTAGAATCGTCAAATTGGAGTTTCCGGTCGTCTTTAATGTCTCAAATTTTGTGGGTACCCCTGTATATTATAATGTAGCCCTCAGTTTAGTTATGTAATACTCTCAGAAGTCCTGAGTAGTCTACTGTAGTCCCGATTCAAGGACTAAATATTATAATGTATCTCTCTGTATAGTTATAGATAGTCTCCTGAAGACTATCGGGCCCAAATTTTTTTTGGGAACTCATGTGGCCCCCGAAAGGTTTATGTATGATCAAAATTTTAAAAATTTGTGTTTAAAAGTTTTTTTATTTTTGTAAAACTTTGAAAATGCGCAAAAAAAATATTAAGAAATTCGCAAACTTTTTTTTGTTTTTGTTTTATACTGTACGAAGAGAAGAGGCTCTGAGCTTTATTGAAATAGAAAAGAAAGAGAAGTTGCAAGATACGAAACATGTTAGAACAAGATAGATTCCGTGCAGTCGTCTCTGAAGTCTCACCCTTTGAGGATAAATATGTATCTAACAATAAATATTTGAGGATAAATATGTATCTTACAATAAATATTTGAGGATAAACCTGTATCTTACAATAAATATTTGAGGATAAACCTGTATCTTACAATAAATATTTGAGGATAAATATGTATCTTACAATAAATATTTGAGGATAAACCTGTATCTTACAATAAATATTTGAGGATAAACCTGTATCTTACAATAAATATTTGAGGATAAACCTGTATTTTACAACAAATATTTGGATCTTTCACAAAAAAAGAGTATTTTTTTAACAAGTTTGTTATTTGCCTAGCTATCGTTTTTTCCCCTAAAACTCTAATTCTATAATTCCTGTATCTTGCAACCTGATGTCGTAGATCTTTGATTTTTTAAACTAGGAATTCTGCGAGATCAAAAAATTTAAGTTTGAAATATCAATGGTTATAACACCATCAGGTTGTATGAATAATGAGCGCAGATTATTAGAGTTTTAGATAAGTTTTTTTGCCTTAACAATTACGAATTCTCTAGCATTAATAACAAACCCACTGCCTGGTGTGCCTGTGTAAAATGAGTATAAATATGGTCAGTATTTATACCCGGGGTAAATGGATCAGTATGATACCATTAGGAAAGCCTAGTTGCCTCTCAAAGATAATTGTGACTTTGATAAATTTGACATGGAGAAGGTAACAAAAAAATTTAAAATTTTCGAAATGAAAATTAGACCTGAAACGTAAAAAAATCATAAAAATACAAGATAATAGGAAAAGTATTAAACCTAGAGTATAAATAATACCTGCTCCTATTTAGACCAAGTTCTACAATTGAATGTAAAAAAAGACAATTTGTAAAATATGATAAATGAACTTACACGACATACTGTGATTATAATAGCATTCAGACCACTCATGAGGAGGAGGGGGGGGGGGATCCTGCCTGTTTACTTTATAAATGCGACTGATTTTATATACTGAAAGGGAATGTATGCGTAATTTTAAGTTACGATGACAATGCCCTAATATTTAAAGCTTAATCAAATCATGTTTATGAATAAAATATCCATGTTTTTGTTTTTGAAAACAGATTATCTTAGCTAGTCCGGAAAATTACGTTATCTTCCACATGTTTTGTTAGATTATGGTTTCAAGTGGTAAATCTGGCATTGTGTTTTTTGCACAGGGGGTCACTTGAAATTGCGCATACAGTCCCTTTAAAGCGGTAAGTGGAAAGTGGTGACCGAGGGGGGGGGGTCATTGGGTTCTGGACGCAATTTATTTAGTCTTTATTATTTTGAGATCATAAACACACAAGAATGTGATAGTGTGTGTATGAGAGATTTCTTATGTCGCAGTTGTATGTTAAAATAAAATTAAGAGGAAACAGTTTCAAATTTTTGTTTCTTTGTTAAATATCTCCAGAGACCCAGAAGAGGCTAAATGTATAATTTTAATGATGACAACGAAAGCAACTTATGTAGGAGAACCTGCACAATTAATTAGAAAGTATCAAGTTTTAAATTTAAGAAAAAGAGATTGTTTTCAAACAAAGATTTAAGAATACAGTTTTAAATCGAACATGTCAACTCCACTAGAAATTACGTATACAGTCCCTTTGTTTAAACATTTTTCTGATAAGAATCACGGAACCTCTTCATCAACCATTACGCTGCAATTCCGACTCTAATTAATCATCTAACCTCTACTTTACTTCAGTAAAATACAACACTGATTGGAGTTCAAAACATATATTTTTACAAAACATGTTTTTCAGTTCTACAGAGTAAGCCTCTTCGATTCGATGATACAAATTAAGCCATGGGTCTACATTTATATACATTTTTAATAAATCTTTGAAATATTAAATTTTCCTTAAAATATCGATTTAAATTAAATTCCATAATTTGGGAAATATTGTAGATAATTGATTTAATTCGTGTATTTATATACAATATACATTATACATAGTACATATTTGCAATAATTCATAAGAAAAAAAATAAATATTAATATTATCCATAATTGCAAATTGATGTTAAAACAATTGTTTTTTTTTCTAAATTAAAGATATTTTTAAGAAAATAATTGATTAGGAAAAACTCCTACACCTGGTAGGGTGGGGGCACTCCCACCCCTCTGATGAGGGGGGGGGCGTACCAAACCATAAATAAACCCTGGTTTGGATCAAAGTGTCCAGAAGTCTAACTAACATGAACTAGAAGGTTTGCTAGAATTAACATTGAATAATATGTTCTGGTTCCAGTCTTGAACAACAGACATTTTCCCATAGAGACACGAGATTTACACAAGGAAAGTGTACTGCAGGTTCAGGGAGGAATGTAAACAGTGTACTGCAGGTTCAGGGAGGAATGTAAACAGTGTACTGCAGGTTCAGGGAGGAATGTTAACAGTGTACTGCAGGTCAGGGAGGAATGTAAACAGTGTACTGCAGGTTCAGGGAGGAATGTAAACAGTGTACTGCAGGTTCAGTGAGGAATGTAAACAGTGTACTGCAGGTTCAGGGAGGAATGTTAACAGTGTACTGCAGGTCAGGGAGGAATGTAAACAGTGCACTGCAGGTTCAGGGAGGAATGTAAACAGTTTACTGCAGGTTCAGGGAGGAATGTAAACAGTATACTGCAGGTTCAGGAAGGAATGTAAACAGATCGAATTTTGTTTATTATATTCCTTCCAGAAATTATAGTGCCACTTCTTTTGTCAACAAAGTTCCTGGTTTATCCTATTTCAACAAAAGAAATTTGAAATATATGTTTTCTTCTCTTTAAAAAAGGTAAATTGTTCATTGTTTAGATTTTTTCTTTTAAGTCTTTTTTGCGCATATTTTTAGCTTAATTTACTTGATAAAGAGCCTATGCCGTAAGTTGAACGATAATTAAGAAAGGTTCACTTTAATATTTTCTGGATATATTTTCTTTTTTCTATTAAACATCCTTGTTGCATGAAGCTTGTGTTCTATATTTAATGAATGCTTCAGTATACAATATATCGAACCTCTATTGAATTTAAAGTAATTTCCTCTCCTGAGAAACCATTTTCTTGATCGCGCGCTTCTCTCCGCATCCGTTCTTGTGGCGCACGGCGCAGTCTAGAGCCATTGACCGTTGGTTTCAGTTGCAGTTTGGTTCTCAACCTGGACAGACATGGATACAACTCTCTACCAGTCACCGCAGGATCGGAACATGGATTTTAACTTTAACATGATAAATTTTGAGTTAACCAAGGACGGACAAAAAGAGATGATTGAGATAAGTCCCGAGGAGTTGTCCCAGTTTGACCCAACTATGCAGTACGATGTACAAAACACCAACAACAGTTACCAGAACTACTATGATTACCAAGAGATGTCGCCAACATCAGAGAATTCATATTTTTCCGGAACTCCGTCCCCTTTTTCTCCAGCACAGAGTGAATTTTCCGGAAAGGCCGTAAATCCTCGAAAAAAAGGAGGACGCAAGAAAAACCTCCGTCCTCCATCTCCAGCCATCCTGAAGCAGAGGCGCGAGGCCGCAAATGCACGAGAGCGGAAACGAATGAACGGATTGAACGATGCTTTTGAGCGATTACGTGACGTTGTTCCAAACATGACGACGGAACAGAAAATGTCCAAAATCGAAACTTTGCGAATGGCGCAAGCTTACATCAAAACTTTGGCTAACCTGGTCGAAAATGAGGAAAATGGAAGTCCTCAACCCTCAGCCTCGACAAATACAGTCGAGGTCGATATGTTTGAATTGATCTAAACATTTCTCTAGATTTTGTACATAAACTGTACAGTGTACAATAACTTTGTCAACCCCGAAGAACATGAAGAAATCTCCGAAACTGTGATAACAAATACCGTAAATCATAAATGAATAAAGCTCTAGCGCTATTTACAATTATCTAAAGTGCAATAAAGATTATTTAATACTGATGAATCGTTTCCTTAGAAGTTCGTGCATTTTCTAGTAATTATACAATTCCACTTTGTCAACATTAATCTCATTTAAATGGTTTGAAAGTGGTCTGATTAGTTTAAATGCAACAAGCCGTTCAAATTCCTTAACTGTTGAGTGCTTTCTGCAAAAACTTAATTATCCACATTATTTCATTTTTAGACAAAATCAAAGTTGTTTTTAAAAAATTAATTCTAAATCCAATTCTTAATCTTGGAAACCTAATGTTGTTGAACATTTATATTTCAAACTGTGAACTAGGGATTGGAAAACTAGAGTTTAGTTTCTATAGAACAAGATGATAAGTGAGGGGTAAAAACAGTAGGCGTTGGTAGAAATTAGAATAGATATAAAAACAGTAGGCGTTGGTAGGAATTAGAATAGATATATAAAACAGTAGGCGTTGGTAGGAATTAGAATAGATATAAAAACAGAAATACAGGTGAAATACATTAAAAGAAACTATTTAAAAAAATAAGGAAATAAATGGAGAAAAAATATTTTTAAAAACCAAGGACTAAGGATTGTAAATAGATAGATAGAAAAGTTATAAGGGTGTCAAAAAAAACAGTTTATTGAGATTTTAAACTCTCTAAGTTTTTTCTTTTAAATCCAAAACCCTTTTTAAAAGGTCAAAATATAGTTGTTCCTATCTTGATGTAATTATTAACAGAATATTTCGGATAAAATATATTTTTTTTAAATTTCAATTTTACAATTAACAAAATTCTGGAGAAATTCCCCCAATCATATGTCATCTTTATACACGGGAAGTCATCATAGGTCCTCATTTTATACCATGTAATAAAGAAGCTAAGTATCAAAGAACTGGAATTTGAAATCTTAAGAAATTTACCGTTTTTGATACCACAATACTAATCGACTATATACGCAACATTTTTTTATTTTTAAAAAATATTGTTTAAGATATTTTTCAGGTAATCAAATAAAAGCATCAGATTTAACACAACCGAGAATTGGATAAAAAAATATAATAAAAAACCTTGTTAGAATTAAAATGCTATAAAAAGAAAACACTTGAAAGAAAATTATAAAGAGAATCTATAGATAAAGGAATTGAGTCTTTGCCACGAACTCAAACTTTCAAAACCTCATATCTTTGCAACCTGATATAATCCTTTGATATTTCAGAATTGTTCGAAATAAGGTCTAATATACTAAGTTGCAAAGGTATAGAGATACGAATTGTGTCACAGACTCAATTTATTTGGCTTATCTGGGTGTCTTGTCTGTTTGTTTGCATCCGATAAACGTCAAAACGACTGAACCGATTGGGCCCACATTTTTTGTTACCCAGGGTATGGTTTATGGACGTCAAAATTGACAAATATTGACCGGACCAAAATGTTGACATTGAATATTTCTAAAAATTTTATTAAAGAAATACGTGAAAAAGTTTGCTTATTGCAGAACACGATGAAAATTTGCGACTTAAAAAGAAATAGTTAAATTTAAAACTATTACCAGAAAAAGGACACGAAGCGCCTTGAGAGCCCAGTTTAGACAGAAATTTGACAAGACTAAAAGAAAAATTAAAAGAAAGCATTAGAGAAAAGTAAATGAAAAAATCATATTAAAATTTCATCAATGGGAAAGTATAACAACAAAATGTTTAAAAAATAGGATAGATGGAAACAATATTTACTAACCTATTCGTATTTAGATTAATGTTGAGAAATTTGGTTTTGTGAAAACCTCAAGTTTCAAAAATAAAGTATTCCACTCACTCCAATCTAAGCTTTTTAGTTTTATTTCAGTAAACATGACTTAAATTGTGCAAAAAAGGAAAATGCTTTAGATCACAATGCGCTTAAGGTTGAAGGAAGACTTCTTAAAATTAGTTGCATTTTAGCTAATTATGTTAAATGCAAAGATAATGCAAATAATTGTACATTTACGTTTTCAATTTGGCGCAATTTTACATCTTTCTTATTTATTGTCACTGTTACATTAGAACTATTTGAAAAGGATTGTTAGCGTTATTTAAAGTGACATCCCCCTATTTAAAGTGACATCCACCTATTTAAAGTGGCATCCCCCTATTTAAAGTGACATCCCCCTATTTAAAGAGTTCCTTGTCCAATTCACAACGGTACCTCGGCATCTTTGTTCTGAGCGGCAATCAGATAGTTTCAAATAGTGTTAAATTCTGTTAATTTACTTTTTGTCTCCACCGCATAATGAAAAAAAACCCATAAACACAACTTCGTTAAAATGGCGACCATATTTGAAATGATCATAAAACTGATAAATAGTAATAAAATAACTGAACTCAATTCCCCAAATTAAAATTTTCCAACGCCATATCTTTGCAACCTGATGGTATGCATTTTTTACATTTTAAACTTTGCCAATTTAATCTTGCAGAATTAAAAGTATGATGTCCTAATATGTTCTAATATGTTAGGCAAATCATATCAAAGGCCTACAACTCAATTTACAAAGATATAAAGATTATAAAATTAATTTTAAATTTAAATTGATTACTAAACTCCGATCAAGAGACCTTACCAAGACCGGAATCACTTATTCCAGACTTCTGTCTCCTGCGTTCACATCTCTCAGAGATAAATGTCAATAAGTTCCCATAGTTAGAAAATTAAAATAAATGACCGTGTAATAATTTACAAACTCTTCCTGTTAGATTGAAAATCCAAATGATACTGGTGTCAGATTAAATGTCAAATTTTTTATCCATATGTCCCCTGCTCACCATATCAAGTTTCAATATATATATTGTAATACTTACTTATTTGAATTACATATCCCAACAAAAAATAACTTGACGTTTAACTGCAGGACTTATAGTTTTCCGTTGGGCGGTTTCTTCTGTTCCAATATAGATTTTGTATACTGTAAGCGTAATGACAATGCCTGATTCACAACGGTACCCTTGAACCACCTTTGAACCTCCAAAATTATAAACATTGATATCTGATCAGACAAAACTTGTGGTTACCCTGATAAATCCAACATTGCCATCTTTGCATTAAAATTACGCTATCACTCCCTTTAAAATTTACAAATACATTTCCCAGGTTTTTTGCTTCCCCTTCCACCCAAAAAAAAATAAAATATCAAACAGTTAACTTTTTTTTTGATAAAATAAAAAAGCTTGCATCTTAAAACTGGTTTCTTTGATCATGTTTCAAAGCAAGTTTCAATAGTTTTCGGTCAATATGCAAATATATATAACCTAGATAGTATATAATCATGAAAGATAATGTGAAGTGTGCATTTTCGCACATCTGCAATTTTAACCAAATATGAATATTTGAACTATTCCTTCAAAGTGTTAAACCGACGTGTAGAAAATATTGATTAATATCCTAAATTATTTACAGATTGGTTCAGTTTAGTAAAAATTGAAGGCTTCACCGGAAGAAGTTAGGTATCGAGGATAGATTATGATTGAAAGGGGCAGAGTTGGGACAAAAGCGGTTTGTTCCCCCAGATTTTTAACTACAAATTTTCTCATGAAAAGTCGGACCAAGATTTGTCAGTTGTCAGAGGTTTTAGCTAATTACCCCCCCGGACCCTATAGGGATACTTATCCCGGATATATTCCAAATTTAAAATTTGTAATTCTTGATTGTTGATTCGTATTTCCTTATCACTGTGTCAATTTTGGTAATTTGTGTGAAACTTTCCAGGTTTGATGATTGTTTTTCAGCTAAATGCCAATGTCATCAAATTTTAAAATAATAATGTTTTTTTTTACTTGTAATTGTTCAGGGTTACCCACAAAGGATGAGAGTTCAGAGACGACTGTACAGAATTTATAATGTCTGTTTCTTTAAAAGACTATATTCAAGACAGAAAACTTCAATTAACCTTTGAGTTGTCAAATTTTAAGAGTTTCATGTCGTCTTTACAGTTTCATTCTTTGAGGGTAGTCCTCTATATTAATGTTTAAAGTGATCAACCTGTGTCCGAATTTAATGAATTTAAGCCCCGTCTGAAATCCCCCAAAAACCGGTTTCAATCGAGCACCGGCTTAAATCTCGAAAAATTGAATACAAATTTAAGTGGAACCAACTATATTTGAGCCCCGGCTTGAATTTAAGCCGCAGCTCAAATTCTTAAAATGAACCAATCTTTTTGAATGAACCAATCCAAAGGTTTAAATTTTGAAACCATCATTTACTCAATCTCAAAAAGTACTAACTCAATTAACACTCCAGTTAAAAGAGTTGCTTGTCCTATTCACAATGGTACCCTCTGTAAGGGAAAATGATTGAGTTATCATTAATTATCTACCTTAAAGATGATTACTTTAAATTGCGATTCTTTAAAAAAATTACTTGGGGATTTGGGAAACATGTATTTTTTGGATTGTATTTCAGCGAATTGATATCTTTTTAAGATACAAAACGACAACAGTTTCAACAAACAGTTTCAACATTTTCAGCATTTTCAGCATTTTCAACATTTTTAACATTTTCAACATTTTCAACATTTTCAACATTTTCAACATTTTCAACATTTTCAACATTTTCAACATTTTCAACATTTTCAACATTTTCAATATTTTCAACATTCTCAACATTTTCAACAATTTAAACATTTTTAACGTTAACATTTTCAACATTTTCAACATTTTCAACATTTTCAACATTTTCAACATTTTCAACATTTTCAACATTTTCAACATTTTCAACATTTTCAGCATTTTCAACATTTTCAATATTCTCAATATTTTCAACATTCTCAACATTTTCATCAATTTTAACATTTTTAACGTTTTCAGCATTTTCAGCATTTTCAGCATTTTCAACATTTTCAACATTTATAACATTTTCAACATTTTCAACATTTTCAATATTCTCAATATTTTCAACATTCTCAACATTTTCAACAATTTAAACATTTTTAACGTTTTTAGCATTTTCAACATTTTCAGCATTTTCAGCGTTTTCAACATTTTCAGCATTTTCAATATTTTCAACATTTTCAA